TATTGTTGATTACCCAATTCCTATCCCCAACTCCATTGGCAAATTTGCTGGTGGAATGTGAAAAAGAAATTGTGTGTGAAGCCAGCTATTTACATGCATGCCACAACCTACTCTGTCTGTCTTATTTTGAAGGACCAAAGAATACAAGAAAATTTAAAAATTCCCCCATTCTTATAAATAGCTTAACAGATTCTTATCCAATTATATCCCCTTCACCTGCCTCATTGATATCAGTATTGTACTTGGGCAAGAGAATATAACAGTAGATTGGTTTTATCTAAACCCAGGAATCAGAAGGACAAGTATATCTCTATCCCACTCTTTTAAAAAGCACTTTAAAAAAAAAATGCTAGATTTCTATGAATTTTAATATTGAAAATGAAATGCCTGAAATGTGAATGTTTTATTAGTTATCAAATGGAAAAGCAAAAATGGCTTCTCTGTTTTTTAAAGATTTAATTCTGTATTAAATTTCTGTATAGGTAGTTTTGTTTACTGGGTGATTGGGAGCAATTCTACTCTATCCTGCCAGCAATTGTCCATTAGAGGATCTGCGCAGTTCCTCTCTTTTAAAGCAACAGATTCAATAGCTTCTGCCTGTCAAAAATTGAGTTCGTGACTAAATCATCCCTAATAAAATGCCGAAGGAATTGTGTTTGGATTATGGAATTCCCCACACAGTTGAGTACAAAGCCTCTCATCTCCCAACTCTGTTTTTTGAGCAAAGTCCTAACTAGAAAAATGTAATGTATTTCCACTGTCCAAAGGTCTTATGGAGTTGGAGGTCTGGCTATTAATACTATTCACTAATCCAAACTAGATGTTTTTGTCTTGCTCTGAATATGAGAAAATGAATGTTGTATTTGCAAAATCCACCTTATTTAGATAGAATAGATCATTAAACCTACAATATGAGGTATAATAGGATAGTTGATTAATTGAAGAATTAATAGGGAAGCCTCTAAATGCCGACATATGTTCCTTCCTTTTAAGATGAATGGTTTTGTGAAGATGAGGGATTGCACCTTTCAGTCAAGCATTGCTCCACATTTGCAGGGCTCCAATAGAAGAGATAATGGCCCCTTGCTTGTGCTTACCCTCTCCTCTTCCTCTTCTCCAGTGCAAGTATGAAAAGAAAGTTGAATTCATTTACATCCATTTGAAACACAGCTTGCTATGCTGTTTGAACTTCTACAACTGCCTTTAGTGTTAATTGTGGTTAATCGAAACAAACCATCATTAAAATATAGCTTGAGAAACTAATTACTTTTTTCACTAAGGTTAACTGCAGATTTGTGTTCAGACATAATACAAAAATATAATTAGTTAAAACTAAAAGTAGAACTTTTGAAGAGAAATGCACAAACTCAAAGCTAATGTGGGTCACCTTGTTTTTTTTTTAAATCACAGTTCAGTCATAAAGAGAGAGCAGAACAAAGACTCCACATGGAAGGCTTGCAACTATTTCCTAAATATAGGAGATACATTTCCTCCTTTTATAAGCAGTGTGTGTGAGGAAGTCTCTTCGTTATAATTTTTAATTCTTCCCCATCCCCTCAGTATATAACCTTTGAAGTAATTCAATGAGAACATAGATGTTTCTGGTGAGAAGTATTATAAGTGAAGTGTTCCTAAAATCTGGTGACTTATGGATCAAAAATCTCTATGGGGCTTCCCCACTTTATAGCTTCCAGTGTTTTAAACAGAACATAAATAATACAATATAAATTCTTAAAAACTACATACTGCAGTATTTATGGTGGCACTTCTTGACCAGTCACTTTCCTTGAATTTTCCATGGTGGGGAGGGTAGCTGGTGGAGGGAGAGCTATTCCAACCTCTGTAGAAGTCAGCCAAAAGATAATAATAGATGGTGTGTACAATGTGGTGTTTGATTACATTATTATAGACTGTAATGCGGAACTGTGATTTCAGCTATTGTTCTTTCTCGTACCCTGTATATATGTGTTGTTTGGCTGTCCAGAAACCTGATTTTAGACACTCTTGGCAAAGTGAATTTGCATGTGGAGCTGAAACAAAATGCAATCTTATGTCACAATTTCCAAAGGCAGGATGGATTTTCTAGAAGACAATAAGTTTTTTTTATTTTTTTGCTAAGAAAAAAAGGTAGCCATTTTGTTTGTGCATATGTTTGTCTGTATTAGAATGTATGTACCTGTTGTGTCACTTGGATTTTAAGAGAGTATTTACTTCATATTTAGAAGGTAGGGAAGTAAGGAACAATTCCCTGCATATTAGTAGTATTAGTATCTCACTAGAACAGTTTTTTTCTGTTCAAACTTCAGAAAAGTAATAATATAGTAAGTGATGGCAAAGCTTGACAGAGCTTGTGCCTGAAGAGTATTTTGTGGGTTGTATGTCAAGAAACCTATCTGTCACCTTTTTAGTTTTGATACTATGGAAACCATAATATGGCTTTAGAGAATTCTGAAGACAGTGTACAGTAAAATGAGTTAATATTGTATTCATATACTAAAATGAATTAATATTGTATTATATAATTCATTCCCCATTATGTATAATACAGATGATAGAATTTTAGGATGTTTTTTTAAAAAAATGTTTATGGTATAAAGACAAAATTAAAAGAGACTTGGGCTTTTTCTCAAATCCTAAATTCTCATTTTAAAAAAATGGTTATTACTGCCAATATTCCCATTTCTAAGAGTCCACAGGGGGGGTGGGAATTCTAGACCTAAGCAAATCTTCCTCCTTGGTGCTTCTCTTGTTTTCTTCACACTGTCATAACTTTGGTACTGTTCCTGAAAGGCAGCAGATTCTGTACTAAAGTATCCGAGCTGGTTTTCTTTCATTCAACTGCCTAAAATCTCAAATCACACATTTTTGTTTTGCTGTTTGAGACATTAGAGCATTTTTGGCTTTGGGAATGGGCTGGTTTTGGGCTTCATCATAGTGGCTTTGTGCCTTCAGGCAGGTCTTAGCAATAGCAATAGCAGTTAGACTTATATACCGTTTCATAGGGCTTTCAGCCCTCTCTAAGCGGTTTACAGAGTCAGCATATTGCCCCCACAGTCTGGGTCCTCATTTCACCCACCTCGGAAGGATGGAAGGCTGAGTCAACCTTGAGCCGGTGAGATTAGAACCGCCGAACTGCGAACCGCTGAACTGCAGATAACAGTCAGCTGAATTGAAGTGCCACTGCGCCACCTCGGCTCTTGTTGTTGAGGTCTTGTTGAAGTTGGTCCAATAGCAATGGCTTTGACTCCCCCACCCCACTTTTTCTTTTTGCCCTGCAATAAAAATAAAAGTATGGATAGGGACAGCAATTTTAGCACTCCCGTGACCCAGCACTAGTTGACTCTAGTGAAACTTTGTAATGGCTGAAGATGAGGCAATTGCAGACTGTTGAACACTTAGTCTGAAGGTCTCAGAATGGTGAGTGGAGATGCTGGCTTTCTGGAAGTTTACTCAACACCCAACTGTAAATAATGGTGCTAAAAACTGCTAACAATATTAACCAGGAATTTTTCACATTTCTTTGTTCCAGTCTGGTATCCCATCAATCTTCCCATCACAGTTGAAAGAAGGAAACAAAGGCAGGCCTGTTTAATAAACAGATTACTGTAATATCTGTCTCTTCATATGAGCTGGACAATTCTGCTAATTTTAAGATCGGGATTTAAAACTGAAGGCTCCATCATAGAAATTTAGCAATTATATATTTAACCATACTGAGATTTACTGATATCAGCAGGATAAATCAATCATAAATAACTTGAGAGTCAGTAAAATTAGGTGCAGTACAGTAACTTTCTCTGGATTGAGCTACATTCCATAATATTTGTATTTGCACTTGTCCAGATAGTCTTTATATTTCTGTCTGTAATGACTCAGATTTAAGGTGTTCATCTTTGGATGAATATAGTCCCATTTCATACAAGGCTAAGAATAGCTGGTGGCTGATTGGACAGTGGGGCATTCATTCTAATATAGCTCATGGAATAGCTCAGAATAGGGCTATCCCAAAGGTGCTTTTTCAAGAGGCAACTGGACTTTGTTTTTCTTTGAAGGTGTTTCGCTTGTCATCCAAGAAGCTTCTTCAGTTCTGAGAAAACGAAATGTCTTCAAAGAAAAACAAAGTCCAGTTGCCTCTTGAAAAAGCACCTTTGGGACAACCATGACCTGAATGATTGAGAATCTCCATAGACGGAATAGGGCTAATTAAAAATACCGCACTATAAAATTAGTATGAAATTATCAAGTTGTTTCTATAATAGTTTCACATTGTCAAAGCTAGGACTGCAGCAGGTCGGAATACCACGGGTCTGCTTATTTCCTATTGAGCAATTGCAATTCTTAAAGTAAATTCTCAACGTGAAAGAAGCAGGACAGTATCAACTCCATTTCTTAAGTAGCTGGACATCAATCTTTTCAGTCCCTAACCTTTTCCTATTGCCAATGCAAATGACAGGGGGCATTCATTCATTCATTCGCTTTTTTATTCTGCCTTTATTACTTTATAAGTAACTCAAGGTGGCAAACATGCCTAATATCCCTTCCTCCTTTTCCCCACAACAACAATCTTGTGAAGTGGGTTGGGCTGAGAGCAAGTACTGTCTCAGTCATCTAGCTGACTTTAATGTCTTAGATCTCATAGATTGGGCCTCCTCCGAATTCCATCTGCCAGCCAGTGCCGGCTGGCAACTACAAGGAGGAGGGCCTTTTCAGTAGTAGCTCCGACCCTTTGGAACGAGCTCCCCATGGAGATTCGTACTCTCACCACCGTCCAGGCCTTCCGCATAGCCCTTAAGACCTGGCTAGCCCGTCAGGCCTGGGGACAAAGATAGCCGCCCCTCCCGAATGATGAATGAATGTTGCCCATTATTTTTACTTATATGTGTCTACGTCATTGTTTGTATTCCCCTTCCTGATTTTATGTGAGCCGCCCTGAGTCCCCTCAGGGAAAAGGGCGGCCTATAAATGTTAATAAACAAACAAAACAAACAATGTCTGAAGCAGGATTAGAACTTGAGTCTCCTGATGTCTAGCCTACCACCTTAACCATTACACCAAACTCTCCTGATTGTGTTTCCAGGTGTTTCTGGAACTTGTAATCCCAACACATCTGGAGGTTAATTGGCCAAGAAAAATCCAACCTGACTTTTTTTTATATATATAAAAAGGAAAATTATTGGTTTAAGGTGGATGTGAAAAGGAGATATCCAAACTGTTAGAGGAACAAAGTTCTTATTCCTTGTCTTCCCAAAACTTTGGCAAATTCTTATAGAGTGGGAGCAGAGGAGAAGAAAATCTTCCATCTCTCGCATGGTCTCCCCTTCCAAAATTAAGTTGAAATTGCTGCTGTTTTGGCTAAAATAGTTCATTCCTAAAATCACCTGCACTGGGTGTTCGTAGCATTAATTTTTTTAAAAGGAGTTGCTGCAGAGAGAACAAATGATAGGCTTGATGGCCTAAAAGTCAGCTAGGATTAATAATTAACACCATGGCAGGTCAATCTATAGATGGAACCATATTATTAGCATCATTTCTTTGCCTGAAGAAAGTTTCTGTTCCTTAGAATTTTTCTCCCAATTAAGACATCAAACAATTGGCTTTTCAAAATATTTTTGACAGGTTTTCTCTGTAAAAGCTCCTGCATAAGCCAAGCATTCATGCATTAGGATGTTTTTCTTAGGAATCAGTAATTGATTAAAGATGGCATAGCGGTTACACATATTGATAACTTTTTTGGTAAGAGGTATATGACAGATGATTGAATGGTTGCAGTGCTGTTTAATTTATTCTTAAATTATCTGAAATGCATCATTGTTTTAAAAGCCGCCAAATTATTCAGAATGGTGGTTTATATCAAAGCGGCCTAAAATTGATTTCTCTGTGCAAGGTAAACTCACAGTTGAATTAAAAATGAAATCATGTTAAGCATAAGTTGAATCACTTTGAGGCTAGGGAGATTCCTAACTTTTCATATACACATAAGTAGTGGTAAGTCTCTTGGTACATTAAAGATGATAATGCATCCATTATCATGGATGTTGTATTTTCGTTTTACCAATAAAATCTTATAAAAAATAAATAAAGATGATAATGCAACCCGATGAAGTGGGTTGCAACCCAATGAATCCATTGATATCCTACTAAAACTCATTATATCTTTAGACAAAATGATGCATTTTGGGCAATTCTTGAACCAAGATACTCCAAATGGGCTTACTTACAGAATGCATCCAAAATCTGGGACCCATGATTCCTAAGGAATGAAATTTGGGGGAAATTTGGCTGTTACAGTGCTACTGGTAAAGTGCTATTGTGGTTGCGTGATCTTCATTTTCAACATTGTGACAATTTCCCAGCCAATCTCAAAATTCCTCACTCCCTTCCCCACCCAGCAAGAGTCATTATCTGCCTGCTACCTTAGGTAGGGGAGGGATTAAAGATTTCTGGTGTTCTCTGCCAGATTTCCTCAAGGAAACTCAATGAGGAAGCTGGCAGAAATCAGAGGCAGCTACTGCTCCCACTGCTTCTTGGCCCACCCTTAGTCATCAGTTTCTCTTTTAGATAAGGAGATCTCTCTGAAACTATGATCCCATGGGGCATATGTTGTCTTATATTTTAGAAAGAAATGGCAAATAAAACACCTAGTATAACTTTTGTTTTAGAGCTATTGATGCTGATTGAACTTTTCAGTAAGGATGTCCCAGAGTTGGGAAAGATGCAAACATAGTATCTCACTGATGGCAGAAGAATATTAAGTAGCAGGAACAAGTTATATTTGCAACAAGGAAACTTGGGGTTGTGTGACCACCTAAAGGTAAGCATTTTGCACAACCTATGAGTTATGGAAGTCACATCTGCATTGCACAGCTGTGATCTTAGCTTGAAAACAAATTTATTTATGAGGAGCAAGTAAGGAGTTGACTTAAGTGGTATGAACCCTGAGGCCCAGCTGTGCTCTCCACACTTCTGCTCGCCTCCAAATCAGAAGAGGTCTGCTAGGCTATGCTTATTCCCAGAAAAATAGTAACATCTGCTCGGGTTGCATCTGTAGCGATTTAGGCAGCAGGTCTTTCTGGAAGCAAATCTGCCTCCAGTGCTTTTCACAGATAAGTGGTTTAGAGCCATACATTTTAACCTGCCTAAATCTTATTAGTGAGAAATGGGCTCTAATTATGGCTATGAATGTTTAAATACTCTTAAATGCATCTCAGGTTGGAGTAGCCATATCTACACTCTTGTGAAGAGGATAAAGGGAACTGAACCTAAGGCTACAAATATGCAATGCTGTTTTCTAATCCTGTGAAAAATATTTGAAGTATGACAGCTTCAACATACTTGAAGCAGCCATCATGAGGCTTTGAACTCCCCCTCCCCCCTTTCCATAATCCTGAGGCCTAGATTCCTTTCTCACATGGTGAAACAGCATGCCCTAGTTTTTTTAATCGTTTTTTAGTCTTGCTGTTTCTAATGGAAGAGAAGAAGAAGAAAAACCAGCTGAGAACTTCAGTCTATTTACCGTAATTATTTTCTTTCTTTTTTTAATGGAAATCTTGTGTAATTTTGGCCACGAAAATTGGCCCTCTCAGAAGGAAGAGCATGTGAAGCTGTAATATTGTCAGGGCAACATGGGTCCCGGCACAGGAAAAACATGACAAACTTTGAAAAACTGAAATGTATTTCTGCAATATTGTTACTTGTCTTCTTTCATGCTCCTGCATTTATTTACCAGAGAATTCACAGCAGCATGACTTTTCCTTCATGCTGTGAAAGCAAAGATGTTTCGTTGCCCTCATCCTCCAAAATTCTGCTTTTGTAACATATGTCATATCAGGCCCAAGTGATTGCCCCTAAGACAAAACTATAAGGTTATAGCTATAGCAAGAACAGTACTGTTGGTAGAGGAGAGGATTGTACAATAATTATTAATCCATTCATTGCTTTCAACCAGAAGGGTTTTGCAGACCTTGCTCAGCTGCCTTTGCAATTATGAAAACGGTGCCCTGGATATAAAGAGACCTGGGAGCTTTTACTGGCAGCTTTCCAGGTGTTTTTTTTTTAAATCAACCTGCTAGTTTTAAAAGCTTTGATTTTTTAAAATCAAACAGAAGGCAATTCCAGACTCTGTAACAGGCTAGAAAACACACCCATTTTTTCTCCTCCAAATGTTTATTCCCTTTCCCTTGGGAGCACCTTTCCCGTGCCATCTGGAGCACAGAGTAAAAAATTCCTGCAGAAACTCCACAAGAGGCTCATCACAAGCTTCGCTACTCCAGCAGCCTGGTTCTTCCCAGCAGAGGGGCATTGCACACATAATGATGGGCATAGATCAGCTCGCAACAGCCTGCAGCAGCTCCCGACTATTCAAACTCCTGCAGCAAAGAAAGAATATGGAGTGGGGAGTGGAGTGGGTGGTATGGGTCCTTCCTGTTGTCTCTTAGATGAAAATAGATAAACTGTTCATCAAAACCGGCAGCTTCAGTTTGCACGGATAAGGAGCCTCCAGTGTCTGGTTTGTTGCATCAAAGCCACCAGGAGGATTAACAAAAGCCTCATGGCTTCCTACTTTCCCAGTATGATCAGCTGTTGCCATGGCAGCAGAACTTCTGTGGTACCTTGGTTCAACCTGTGTTTTCACCCATTTTGCTTGACTGCCTCATGCCAGCTCCTTGGAATACTTTGCTCTTTGTTTGCGTAGCTTCACAAAGGCCTGTGCTTCCTTGTCTCCTTTGCGGGTCCCCAAAAGCTTCAGGATGTCATCGCCTAAGAGGGAAGAGACGATCTGGAGTTCATTCAGGTATAGCAGTAATACAAAGTCATTTTCCTGCCAAAAAAAGTTCCATTGTTCATTAGCCAGCTGTCAGCAGAGAAGCTGTCTAGAGGCTTCTGAGCAAGAGTTTTACTGCATAATTTTTAATGTATACCATGATAAAAAATAATAATGAGAAAGAGCGCAGAGAAGAGCAACAAAGATGAGAAAGGGTCTGGGGGCTAAACTACGCAGTGAACTTCTAAGGGAACTTGGTATGTCTTGCTTAATGAAGAGAAGGTTTAGAGATGGCATCATAGCCCCCTTCCAATACTTGAAGGGTTGTCACGGGGGAAAAGGGGGTCTATTTTCCAAAGTGCCTGAGGCAGGACAAGAAGCAATGTTCAGAAGCTTGTCAGAGGAAGATCCAACCTGCAACTAAGAAAGTTCCTGGCCACCAGAACAATTAGTCAATGGGACAGCTTGTCTCATGGAATTGTGGGTACACCATTGCTGGAGGTTTTCAAGAAAAAATGGGCAACCATTTGTCTGGAACTGTATAAAGTTTCCTGCCTTGGGTTGGAGCAGAAGACCTCCAAGGTCTATTCCAGCCCTATCCTATGTGCAAAAATGACTTGGCTTTTCTTTTCTTCCATTCAATCCCAAGAGAACAGCATTGCTCAATTTGGCCTTCATTATTATGCATAATTCACTAGAAATTTGTATTTATATGTGTTCTTTATGTTCCTATCTGTTTGCCTATTTTTTTCTTCTTCCTATAGAAAAGTCTTTTAAGGAAACATAACTTTTGTGCAATTTGTTTTGAGTGGGGATGCTAGGTTTCTTGTGGAAGCATATAACAGAACAAAATAACAGAGTTGGAAATTGAGGTCTTCTAGTCCAACCCCCTGCTCAGGCAGGAAACCCTCTACCATTTCAGACAAATGGTTGTCCAACCTCTTCTTAAAAACGTCCAGTGTTGGGGCATTCATAACTTCTGAAGGCAAAGCTGTTCCACTGATTAATTGTTCTGTCAGGAAATTTCTCCTTAGTTCTAAGTTGCTTCTGTCCTTGATTAGTTATATATGCTACATGGATATCAGTTGTGAAAAGATTACAAAAATTGAGAGATATAATTTGGGGAAAATACTTCTGCAGAAATAAAAACTAGAAATATTTACTGGTGGAAAAATGTGTATTAATATAATGGCTATTAGTGAACAATACATGTAGAAAACAAGGCAGGGTTTTTAAAAAAGTTATTTCGATTTCTTCCTCTAGACTTAAACACTTCTTTCTGATCCCCTTTAGTCTTAATTGATCTTTGTTTCAGCTTGGGAGAATCTTAACACATATTCTTAAAGGAGTTGATAAAGTGAGATTTAATTGCTAATCTAATGTCTTGAGTGCAAAGGACTTAAATTGCACAGAATCAAGAACCACAGGAAATTTCTATTTATTCTATGAACCTTAAGAAACTTCAAAAGCAACCACTGATACAGACTGGGATTTATAATAGTCACTTGGAAAAGAATGAAAGAGCTAAGAAGAAAAAATGCTATAGTGATCTGCAATTTGGAATCACTTTTTGCAAAATGCCCGGGGTTTATCTTTCTCTAAAGGCCAGTGCAAGCCTTAATCCTCACTTCACTTCGTCATGTGTTTCATTCTTGTACTACTCTGTTCAGCACTTCTTCAGTGCTCAGCCAACAGGAAGAAACATGCTTATGATATAGAAAGAGCAGCAAAACTGACCCTCTAAAACAATCGAGGAGAAGTAGGAGGTGGGCATAAGACTTACACAGCATGGCCAGAGGAGTCAGGGTGAAATGAAATATTGATCCCTGTCAGTGGGAAATCACCTTATCTGCTGCTCAAGAAGGTAAAACTGTTTTTGCAATTGCAGAGGCAATAGGTAATCAGCTTATCTTTCCAAGCCAATGGTGCTAAGAATTTAAAACTTGGTATCTAGTGAGATCTTTGGAAAATATCCGCTCTCAGTTTAATAACACAAAGCTAAATCAAGTTTTAACCCACTAATGAAAAGAGAATTGCATGTCATTTCTCCTGTGGGTGAAACAAGAAAAAAGATCCTAGTAGAGCAAATAGTCAGTAAAACAGATTAAAAACAAGCCAATATAATTTTCTTAACTCTGCCTTCTTTAATGACATTATAGGCCAATCTTTTCTAAGGTTTCATCTAATTATTGTAACAGATTATTCATAGTGTACAAAGTGTGTGTGGCTCTTGATGCTATATCAAAACCACACACACACACACACTGATGATTGAAGCTTTCAATCACATTTTAGTATTTCAATATTTATGGTGGTGATATTAAAACAATCCTGGAATTGTATTAAAATATTATAGCCAGTTTTTTTCTTCACCTTCATAATTACTTGGAAGAAGTAGTAAGATATTTGTGGGCAGGAAATTCATCTGCTATTTCCTATTTTTTTATAATGTGTACATTTCCAGTTGCTATTCCGCCACATTTTTATAGTGTTTAAAATGTAACCTCCTATATAAAATTCTAGAAGGACATTTACTTTACCCAAATATTTTCTTATGGAAGTTTCAAAACAAAAGATATTTCATGTAAATCTATACCACTGCCTGACAAAAGTAGAAGAGCCACCAGCTAAATTAGAATGACTGATGGATTAATTCCTCAATTTAACATGCTTTAGCATGTTTAAATATAAACACTTCTATCTTAATTCACGGCCTCCTCTTCCTTCTGTAGCAAAACATAAATAACATAATGAATATTCTGACCTATTAATAGCCTGTTTTGTGCAAACAGAATAAACAAAATTGTTCTTTGATCCTGTCTGAGATGAATTCCTAACCAGAATGTTTTCATTCTAGAGGATAGCATGAAGGATGAGAGAGGTGGTTACCAGCAATTCCAGGATGAGTTAAAGATAAACGGATCTGTGGTATTCTGGATGGGTTGATTGACTCTTCAGGCTCATTCAGCCCCAAGACCCTGCAGAGTGGGAGGAAAGCTTCTCCTTCCAGGTCATTTGCTCCCACGGTGTCATAGTCAAACACTGTGAGCAGCAGACATGCTCCGTCTTGCTGACATTTTTCTGGAGGAACCAAACTGTAGGGAGAACCAATATGGCAGTGGTGAAGTCATGATATCTCGGGTCTTCAAATAGAAATAGGACAACTTAATATATTATCACCCTCTCCACCCCCAATGGGGAACAGAGCTCAACCTCATAGGCAGTTTTCTCAGAGTACAGCTGTGGTACCTACAACATGTCAACCAAAAGAAGATGAGGAACATATGAAACTCATGCTCTAAGTATGATGTAATCTTGGAAGATGACGATAGGACAGGAAAGAGGAGTGGCTCTTCATACATACAATTCAAAGGCTTCATCAAACAGGGGATGGAGATTGTTCTTTATGCACTCAGTAGTCCGTGTTGCAATCTCGGGGAACTCATGACGTGGCTCCAGTGTGAGTTGGATAAAGGGATCACTTAGGCCTATATTGGGGGGGAGGGGAAGATGTAGAAGAAGTAACAGAACCATAATGCAAAACCTACTTTTCTATCATGGACATTTGTTTCTCAAAAAAGCCTCTAAAGTAAGGCACATCCACATAGTAGTCAACCTCTTGTAATACACTAAGTTAGGACAGAGGTAAAGTTCTTATCTTGTTCATTTTTATTGGAATGCTTATAAACTGAGGTCAAGTATTACTTTCTTCTCCAGTCCTTTCCGATATGATATGGAATAGATGAAGCCACTGTTTTTTGAGTCATTCTATTGGTCACTCTTGACTAGCGCCTTGTCTGTTGATACGCAATAGTCCTCTGACATCTAAATCAGAAATTCTTTCTCATTCCTGTTAACTAACAATGGCAGTCCTAAGTGCTACATATATCCCAGCCCTTCACAACCTGATGTTCCCCAAATGTTGGGAACTGCAGTTTCCTATCTTCTACCATGCCAGGGAGAAATTATGTTCACTGCAGTGCCAAGATATCTGAATGATGTGGAGTTGGGGAAAGTTGTATGTATGTATGTATGTGCTGTACTGCTAAATGGTAATAATTCTTAAATTCAACTTTGTATTTTCAAACTATTTTTCCTTAATTCAATGTTCTTTTCTTTAAAAAAAAATTCCGAAGTCCTGGAGCACAAAGTGTGCTTCATGGCAGCTTTTTCAAAAGAAAGCAAAGCTAGAAATGTATTATTTGCAGAGCACTCAGTCAACATCCTCCTCTTCTGGAGAGCTGAAAGAAATGCAGTCAATCTATTCTCTTCTCCTTTTAAGAATGCAACAACATGATAACTTGGCATCTTTCCCTAATGGTGTGCAATGACTTCCTTGGAATTGGCACACACACACACACACACACACACACATTTTAATTAACAATGTTTGTTACAGAGCAGAAGATCTTTGCTCAGATTAATTGCCTTTTAGAAGATATAAAATTCTTCATGTGCTCTAAACAAACAAAATTACGATTTAGAATAGAAACCAGAATGGGGGATGCATTACATCATCCATTTGTGTGGCTACCACTGGGCACACATCTGCTCTGGATGTATCCAAACCTATCCATTTCTATGGTCATTCCCAAGTTTTCTTTCATTTTAGCAAAATTACAGTAATGAACAGAATGTTGGAGGTGGCTCAAAAGGTAGGACTGCCTTTGATTTTTAGTGGCTAAGATTAAGCGAAACACTTAAGCGAGTTTTGCCCCATTTTATCACTTTTCTTGCCACATTTGTTAAGTGAATCACTGCAATTGTTAAATTAGTAGCATGGGCTTCCCGGTTAACACTGCTCGTCAGGGGATCACAAAAGGGATCATATGATCCCAGGACACTGCAACCATCATAAATATGAACCAGTTGTCAATCATCTGAATGTAAATCATGTGGCCATGGGGATGCTGCAGCAGTCATAAGTGTGAAAAAGGTCATAAATCACTTTTTTTCAGTGTCTTCATAACTTTGAACGGTCAGTAAATGAGCTGTTGTAAGTTGAGGACCACCTGTATTGAACTTTCACTGTTCCAATTTTCCTTGATTTACATTCAGATG